CTCACATTATTAATGTGTGATAATTCAAAAACAAAATTATTAAAGAAAACCCCAAAAGATATGCATATAAATAAGTACTCCAGTTTACATGAATAGTATGTGCTTTAAGTGGCTTAACTGTCTTAGCCTCTTTGGGCTGCTACAACAAAATACCACAAACCTGGCAGTTTGTAAACAACAGAAATTTGTTCCTCATGGTTTTGGAGGCTGGGAAATGAATCAGTTGATTCTAAAATTTACATGAAAAACATGGGATCTAGATGAGTCAAGAGGAACAAAGATGACACACACTATGCTGATTTCATGACTTGCTATGCTAGCATAATCAGGCAGGGAGGTTTGTAAAGACAAATAGACCAGTGGAACAGATTAGAAAGCACAGAAATAGACCAAAGGTATTTGGTCAATCAATACTCAACAAAGACACCAAAGCAATTTAATGTGGAAAGGAAATTTTTTTATTTTGAGACAGATCTCACTACATTAGCTTAGGGTGACCTTGAACTCACTATGTTGCCCAGGCTGGCCTCAAACTCAATCCTCCTGCCTCAGCCTCCTGAGTGCTGGGATTACAGGCATGTACCACTACATCCAGCAAGGAAATTCTTTTTAACAAGTGGTGGTAGACCAATTATGTATTTGGAAACATGCAGGCTGGTTGATCCATGCCTCATGCCATGTGCAAAAAATGAGCCAGAGATGGATCTTTGAGGAACCTGTATTAAAACTACCAAGCATTTAGAAAAAGAATATAGGAGGAAACCTATATTCTGAGGTTAAGAGGGCTTTGCCTTCTTAGACAGCATCTAATGGTATCATCAAAATCGAAAGATTTGGGTTGGGGGTGTAACTCAGTGGTAGGGCGCTTGCCTACATATAAGAGGCCCTGAGTATGCTCCCTAGCACTGCAAACAAAACAAAAGAAACAAAACAAAAAACCTTTTATTCATCAACCTTCTAAAACAGCTACAATTAGAAATTGGCAAGACTGTGAAGCAACTGGTCCTATATTTCATATGTTCCTTGGTGAGAGTGCCAACCCACTTTGGAAACCATCTAGTAGTTTCTCATAAGGTCAAATGTCCCTTCCTTATGACCTGGAAATTCTACCCCTAGGTTATTTACCCAAAATAAATAAAGTCATAGGTCCACACAAAGACATGTGCAGGAACTTCATAGCAGGCTGTGCCCTGCTCCAAAGTCACTCCATATTGTACAGGAGGACAGTAGCTTTCAGGTTGTACCTTTCCCTGAGTGACTCCGTTTTGAGTGTGAATGCTGAGGCAGAATGAAACTAGCCTTGTTTGTGTGAGTAAACAAACACCTGTCCAGCACAAATCATGAGGCAGACTGATTAAAAACTTACACAAGTAAGATTATTACCTATGATGCTATCAAATTAAATCAGAAACACATGGACACATGGGTGTATCAAAGCCATATCAGAAGGCTAGTCATAGTGGCTCATGCCTGTAATTCTAGCCACTCAGGAGGTACAGGCTGGGAGGATCATGGGTCAAGGCAAGCTGGGGTAAAAAAAAAAAAAAATTAGCAAGACCCATCTTGCCAAACAAGCCAGGCATGGTGGTTCACATCCGTAATCTGAGCTACTCCTAGGCAGGAGTGTCACAGTCTGAGGTGAGCCCAAGACAAAAAGCAGAAGACCCTATCTGAAAAACAACTAGAGCAAAATGTGCTTGGGGCGTGGCTCAAGTGGTACAGAACCTGCCTAGCAAGTGCAAGTCCCTGAGTTCAAACCCAAGTTTGATGCCTTACTGAAGCCACTCTGTAACCTGTACCTCATGTGAAGTGTAATGTGTAATTAAGGGATCTTATCAGTAACATTTAAGATGGGGGTAAAAGAACATACTTGCCAATGGCTCATGCCTCTCAAGTGAAATTTGAAGTGCTTGGTGAGTTAATACCAGCTAAATGGATGTAGCTTGTAAATTTGTTATTATTCAATAAATTCTGGCGGGTAGAGTGGCTCAAGCAGTAAGAGCGCCTGACTAGCAAGCGTTCAAACTCCAGGGCTGCCTAAAATAAGTAAGTAAATGAGTAAATAAATCTGACATTGTGGAAAGACACAGCATGTCTATGTTTCTGACATAGCCTGTGCATGACAGGATGCATACAGTAGAACACTGCTATGTAAGAAGAGAGTACTATTTATATGAGAACACATTAATTTGCTATTTCTTTCATAGTGGGCGCTTAGATGCATAATGCCACATAACATGCCGACTTCACTAAACAGGGTGTCATGTCAACTACATTATCACCTGTTAGCACATGTACATCCACCTCAATGTTTTGTTTTGTTCTTTTTTTTTTTTTTTGAGATGGATGTATTGCCCAGGCTGGCCTCGAACTCAAAATTCCACATAAGCAAAACGTTCCACATATGTGTACAATGTACCCTGGTTTTGTTCTTCTCCATTATTCCGCTTCTTTCCCCTCCCCCTTCTTAAATGACTTGACAGGTTTCAATGCTCCCTCTTCATACGTGGATAGAAAGCAATCAACCATTTTCACCTCTTCATTTGCCCTCCCCAGACTAGTGTACTCCCTTAGCATTTCACATTTCTGGCCTTTGCTGTTTAAGTGCCTGTTCACTATGCAGTAAGGTTTTGCCTTGGTATTTTACCTGTCAATGTATTGTACTTTACTCAGTGTAAGTCCCTCTACTTCTCTTCCTCACCCTTTCCCCCCACCCTGTGTTGTTCAACAGTTTTCAGTGCATTTATTGTGCCGTGTTCCTACACAGATGGGATGGATTTCAATATTATTCATTCCCTGTCATTCTCCCGAAGTATTTCTTTTATGGAAGTCTTAGCTGTGCCTGAGTCTCCCTGGACTCCAGGAGACTCTTTCTTTAAACAGTATTTTATTGAGATACTGTTTACCTAGAGTAAAATGTAGAGATCCGTTTGCAGGATGAGTTTTTACTTCTGTAAATGCCCGTGGTACCATGTCCCAGACCAAGATCCAGAATCTTTAAAGCCCCAGATGGCTCCTATGTGCCCTTCCCAGCCGGTGACCCCAAGGACAACCATGGACCTGTTCTTGACTTGTAAATGGGATTGTCACAGCATGTGAAAATTCGTTTGTGTCTGGCTTCCTCCCTTGGTCTCAATGCTCATTCACATTGTTGCCAGTGCCTGAATTCCTTTTCGTAGTTGGAGGTCTGTTCCATTGTATCCCTACCACAGTGCCTTTCTCCTTTCTTCTGTGGGTGAACATTAGCTGGTTTCCAGTTTGGGGCTGTGATGAGCAAAGGTACTCTGAACAGCCGTGTGTGTTTTCCTTTCTGTTGGGTAATGTTTTGACATGGAATAGCCTGGATGTAGGAGAAGCAGATATCTGACTGCTCCCAAGCTGTGTTCTTTTACACCCCCACTGCAGTGAGTGAGAGTCTGATTGCTCCAAATCCCAAACCCGTTGGCAATTGCCCGCAAATGCCGTGCCATGACAGAACTGTTCCATGGTGCTCACAGTGCTGGAGAGGATTATAAACAAAAAGAATCCCTCCCTGCATTTTCTGGGCCTGAAATCCAGGCAAACTGTGGTCGACCCAGGTGCATGACGGGGATGAAAGGAGCCACATGGCCTGTCTTTGCAAATTCTGGTGCATCTAGACAGAGCACAAGAAGGAAGAGAGGTGCAGACAAACACCTGGCCTTGGGGCACCTGCCACCCCCTCGGTACCTGCAAGACTCTTGTCTTTGTCCATTTTGTGCTGCCCTAACAGAATGGCACAGACTAGGTAATTTAGAAATGATGGAAATCTTTTTCTCATGGTTCTGGAGTATGGAAAGTCTAACATCAGAGCCTTCTTACTGCAACATCCCAATGTGGAAGGCAGAATCTAGTGGAAGGGCAAGAGTGAGAGCAAGAGATCAAACTGTAGCCTCAAGTCATTGTTAATGAGCATCCATCCATCCATCCATCCATGAGGGTGGAGCCCTACTGACCTCAATGCCTCCCCCCCACATTGGACCACACTTCCCAACATTAATTAAGTTCACAGCAGGATTAAGTTCACAGCAGGTACTTTTTGGGGGAACAGCAACACTTCATGGCCAATCCAGAGCTTGCTTCCTGAGCCACCTGCCCTGTGCTAGGGCAAGGCAGGGACCTCACTGACTTCTGGTAAGTTGATTGTCATGGCTCCCTTCTCTTATCAGCCTATCCTACTATTCTGTGTTTCAGCTAATTGTTTTCCTTAACAAGGTGCCAGTTGTCATTTAAGAGCAGTTTATTACAAATGTTCCCTCTCATGTCCTTTCACGTCACTTGAAATGTTCTATTGTGTCTGACCTTTCCTCTCCCCATCCTAAAACTCAGGAAAAAGGAGGAGAGGAGAGAGGGAGAGGACACAAAAGAGAGACAACCGCAGATTGGGGATCTGAAGCTCCCAGGCCACCCCTGTACTCCAGAAAAAAATCTCAATGATGGTGCTTTTCTTACAAAAGCAGTTCTTCTCATATAATCAAGTTTTTATAAGAGGAATTGAGATTTCAAATACTGGAGAGTTAAATCTTCTCAAATAGTTCAGCCTGCCCCCAATGAGCTGTGCACGTGCCTCGACTCTGAGTCTCAGTTTCCTTGCATGGATGTTGGACTGAAGCAGCCCCCACCCCCTTGCCCAGGTAATGCCCCGCCCGTGTTTTTCTGCACACTGTGTTGGAGCATGCTTAGGAAGTCAGTCACATACTTCTGGCCTGTGTCCTCAAGACCTCGCTGCCGCATTACTCTGTGTCTTCATCCACCAAATGTGATTGGGTGTCAGGGTAGGGCACAGGAGGAGAGGAAAGATCACCATCTTGGGTGTGCCTGCTCCCTTCCTGGAGTTGACCTTCAGCCCTGGTCCCCAGCACCTACCTTTTTTTCTTTTTCCAAATCCACTTCCTCTGGCTTCTGGCTCCTGACTCCGCCCAGTTGAATCACTGCCAAGTTGCTTTGGTTTCTATTTCCTTGCTAAGCCCAGCCTTGTGCAGACGACTGGCTGGAGGTTTGAAAGGCAGCAGTAGCCACAGGGGCAGTGGAGAGATGGCTTTCTGTAACACCCAGGGTCCCTACCTGAGCCCGGTGAGTTCTGGGGTACCATCATGGGGCTGGTCTCAGCTGAGCTGGCTGCTCAGCCAGGAATAAGCTCTGAGCCTCTGAGGAAGTGGCGACTAAGTAGCAAGGGGTAGTGGTGGGGCATCCCACAGAGAACAGGAGAAGGGCAGAAGTGGCGCCTGGGTTCATCCTGACCATCCTGACACAGCTCCCTTTCCATGCCTGGATCATACTGCCTATAGGGAGTGAGGGGTTTCAATCATCATGATTCATGCTTTTAATGAACACATTGGGCTCGCTCTGGGTAACTGTTCTGTCCTGGGTGCTGGGGAAGGCAGGCCTAGTAGCATCTAGAAGTAGATGGTTGGTGTGAAGGGGACCACACACCTGCGTGGTATTTAAGACACTTGCTTTGGAGATGGCCTCCTGGGGTTCAGCCATTCACTAGCTGGGTGACTTCACCTCACTGGACCTCAGTTTTTACAGCTGTAAAATGGGACTAATGTTCAATCAAGCCCATCTCCCAAGGCTGGAGTGAGAATTAAGCATGTCTCACATGTTTGAAGGGCCCACACACAGTAGGCGCTTTGGAAGTACTAAGTATTATTAGGAGTCCAGAGGCAGCAGGGCCACCCTCCTGGGGAGGAGTGTGTCCCCTGAGCGCTAAGACAGGTTACACAAGGCAAGGGTGTCTGCAGAGGGGCCTTTCTGGAAGTGAGAGGAGCTCTTTCTGCAGTGGGGGGTGCAAAGGCACCTTTCTGCTCACCTGCAGAGGCCTTGCTTAAACTTCATTTCATGTGTGGAAAAAATGAGGCTAGAAGAAGTCGGGACACTTGACAAACATTCCAAAACGGGAAGTGGCAGAGATGAAGGTACCTTGATTTACCTCCATAAGATGGGTGCCCCTGGAGAGAGAGCAATAATGGGAAAAGGCAGGGAGCCAGTAGCCCCAGGCCCAAAAGCCTTCCAGGGTCATTGTGTTCTGGGCCTGGCCCTGGGGCGCTGGGCCCATGGTCCCTCCTCAGGTGGGCAGGTAGCAGCAGGGCGCTGAGGGAGAGAGCCTCATGCTGCAGCCTCCAGTTGGGGCCTATGGCAGAGGCCCTGGGCTTGGCCAATGTTGCCAGTGCCCCTCAGTCACCCTGTGGAGGCCCCCAAAGTGGAACCTGCATGGAGGGAGCTAGGAAAAGCTGGAAGACACTGGGAAGCACCTCTATGAGGGGTTTGGGGCCAGAATGTGCCACTCTAGGCACGTGACCCCCTTCTGGTCCCCATCAGACAGGGGAAATCACATAAGCTGCTGTTGTATTATTCTGGTGACTAGTTTTGGTTTGAATGTAGAAGTCAAATCTCCAAAGGCAAGAGAGAGTAAAAACAGGCTTTGGATTAGTCAAGAAAGAGGTCCTGTGTGTGTGGCCTCTTCCACCCAGCCAGCCCCACTCAGTGACCCCTTGACCTCAGGCTATCAGAGCCACCCTTTCCCAGAAATGCTGACTGTATGAGAAGGTTATGTGACCCCTGTTCCCATGAGAAGTTGCCCTGTCCATCACCCACCATAAGGGCAACAAGGGTGCCTGCTCCCATTCCTAGCCAGCCACCTCTAAGTGCTAGGAAGTTGCTGGAATGAGTCAAGTTAGGCCCTGCTGTGTGGCCTGGGGAAGCCCTGGGTGAGCCAGAAGTGAAAATTTTCCATGCTTCATTGTGAGAGGCAGCCTGTATGGTGGTTGAAACCCACCATAGTTCTGAAGTTCAAATCCCAGCTCTGTGAATGACTAGCTGTGTGGCTTTGGGCAATGACTGAACCTTTCTGGGTTTCAGTTTCCTCATCTGTAAAAGTGGCTTGACAGCTCAGTCTTTCTGAGTTCCCACGCACAGGGGTGTTCTATATTTCTTAAATAAACTTCTTTCCATCTATTAAAACAAACAAACAAAAAAGTGGCTTGGACCATGGCAAAGGTGGTTATGAGGATTAAGGAACTAACCAGGTACAAAAGGTGGGCTGCCAGCAAGGCCTCCAAACCTCTGGGGCAGCAGGGCCCTTTGGCTAAACCTGAGCACTGCCCCCTGCTGGTGGGTGGCCTGGGCCAGTCAGGCTGATGTTCCCACTGCTGGTGACTGGACTGGGTGCTCTTTGCTGAAACTGGGCCACTAGAAGGAGGATATCCACCCTCTCGCCTGAAAGGGCCAGCTCTGCTTTCTCAACTTCCAGGAAGGAAAAGGAGAACAGAGCCCCACCCTTCCAGTACCACCAGGAGCAGAGAACTAGTTCTGGCTCCGAAGGGGGATTGATCCCCTCCCCACACAAATAGCTGCATTATGAAGGCCAACCTCAAGCCAGGGGCTTTCCATGTGACATCTCATCTGATCTCCTTCTTCTTCTCCTCCTCTTCCTTCTCTTTCTTCTTCTTCTGCATGTTAAGGATCAAACCCCAGGCCGGGAGTACACTAGACATGCACTCTACCACTGAACCACACCTCCAGCCTTTCCACACTTTGATTTCAGGCTTCTGAGCTCTAGCACTGTAAGAGAACAAATTGTTGGATTAAGCCTGGCACAACAAGGCTACAGTGGAGTTTGGACCAGAGAGGAACCTTTGTACCTTTGAACCTTTGCAGAAAATCCCCGCCCCCCACCCCTTCTTTTTTTGCAGTACTGGGACTTGAACTCAGGACTTGAGCCACTCCACTAGCCCTTTTTTGTTAAGGGTTTTTTTGAGATAGGGTCTCATGAATTATTTGCCTGGGCTGGCTTCAAACCATGATCTTCCTGATCTCTGCCTCCTGAGTAGCTAGGATTACAGGTGTGAGCCACCAGCACCCAGCCAGAAAACCACCTTTGACCCCTGTAGTATGGAGTGTGGATTTGCCTGGATTTATGGCCCCACAACCTCAGCTGCCCACGCAGCAACCTGGGCTAGCAGTTCTCACCTTGGGCAAGTCACTCAACCTTCCGGAGCCCTGTAGTCCTTCCTGGCTCCAGTGGGACAGTAATGTCAGCCTGTAGTGTTCTGGAGGCTTCAGGGAGAGAATGTTTCTTTGCCTTTTCCAGCTACTGGAGGCTGCCTGCATGCCTTGGCTCCTATGTTTAAAGCCTGCAGCTTCTTGGCACTGGAAGTGCAGCTCAGGCTTGGAGCACCTGCTTAGCGTGTGCAAGGCCCTCAGTTTAATCTACAGCACCACAAAATAAAAAAAGGGAAAATAAAAGTAAAAAGCCAGCAGTTCTTGCTTCCCTTCTCATATCTCCTCCTTCTGACCTTGACCTTCCTGCTCGTCTTTTATGAGGGACCCTTGTGATCATATAGGGCCCAACTGGGGCATCCAGGATAACCTTCCCGTTTCAAGGGCCCCAGGTTCCAGGTATTGGAATGTGGACATTTCTGAGGGTGGCAGTGATGGGTGCTATTCACATTACAGCACCTTCCCTGAAGTCAACCAGCGTTATCAGACTCTCATGCACTCCCCTAAAGATAGTTTATCTATAAATAAGTAAATATGTGTAGATAGCCTCCCCACACCCACTTTTTATACAAATGGAGTCACTCTGTGTGAGTGCTCAGAGTTCCACTTCCTTTTCATCTTAAGGCTACACAGAGTCTACTGTATGGTAATAGCATCTCTTACCTTACCCTTTCCTTTGGTGGATTTTTATTTTCTTTCCAATCTTTGCTATTATACTGCCTCAATGAATAAACTTACTCTTAAGATTACACTTAAGTTAAAGTAATCTTATTTTTCAGAATTTAGGGACACCACTTAAAATAATGAAATCTCACAAAATGTTTTTGGTGGGGTACTGTTGCCTTAGAAATAAGCACATACTGTCTGACCCCCATGACATGTACCCATTCTTCCTCCATCCCTGTCTTCTATGACACCTTCTGTTCCTTTATGAACCCTCAGTCATCATGCCTGGCTTTTCATTCTTCATGCCCAGTGTGAACATTCTTCCGCCAAGGCTGCAGGCTTCCCCGGAATGTGGGCGGTTCAGGATGATCCCTTGTGACAGTAGAAAGGGGTGTGTGAAAGGGGTATCTTTCAATATCCTTAAATCAATACCCTTAAGAAATGTTCCCTCTCACATCCTTCCATGTCACTGGGAATGTTCTACTGTATTTGTGATTTGTTCTCTTCCCATCCTAAGACCCAGGAGAAAGGGAGCGAGGAGAGAGGAAGAAAACAGGAAAGAGATCAATTTCATGCCCTGCTGGTCCATAACTCTATCACTTTACCAAACCACAGGCATGGACAGGGACAACAGAGAGAACTTGGAGCTGCAAACAAGTTGTGATTGGCTCAAGGTCACTGAAGTACTTAATGCCAGAGTTCAGACCTGACATGAGGTGTCCCCAATGGCAGCTTCCCTAGATGACCAAGGACAGCAGAGTCTAAGTGAAGTCTGGGCACTGTGGGGGCTGTCACAGTCCCAGTCCTGTACATAGAGTTCGAATGGGCTTCCTTAGCCAAAGCAAGGACAGAGGCCAGAACACAGGGCCAGTGAACTGACATTGGCAGGTGATTTTTCTTTTGAGTGGGATTGAAGGTTGAATTTAGGACTTCATGCTTGCTAGGGAGGTGCTCTACCACTTGACTCCATACTCCCCAGACACTTTTGCTCTGGTTATTTGAGAGATTGTGTCTTGCTTTTTCCAACCCCTCCACCCTCCTGTAGACCTGAACCATGATCCTCTATTTATGGAGAAGCTGTGAACAGGGGGGCACCACAGCCAGCTTTTTTCTTTTCTTTCGAGATGGGGTCTTGCAAACTTTTTTGTCCAGGCTGACCTCAAACCAAGAACCTCCCAATCTCTACCTCCCGAGTAACTAGGATACAGGCGTGAGCCACCCGCACATGACGTGTGGGTGTTTTGATTGCCTCACAGTGTTTGTTGTAGCTTGTTAGAGAAAATCCAAGCATTCAGAAAGAATAGTATCAAAAACAATCCACTCCCACCCAGCATCGACAATTCACTTTGGCCTCTCTTGCTCCACTTACTTCCTTCTCTATCTTCAGATTATTTTGAAATGAACCAGCTATATCATTTCATTGCAAATATTTTCTCACATATCTCTCTCAATATAGGAATTCTTACCCAATCCTCATTAGAGGATTTTTCTCCCCAGAAATCAGAAAGTTTACTGAAAAACAAAATGCAGATTTCTGTTTTCTTTTAAAAATTTGGAAGCTCGGCCAACATGAGCCCTGGATGGCCATCATTACTTAAACAGAGTGGAAGCTGCCCCATTAGATGGGGGTTGGGAAGTGCACTTTGGCCCAGTCCCCACCACTCTCTACTGTATTCTGTCTGGCCATGTCACTCACACGTATCACCTGCCTGGCTCCTGTGAGCATCTCATTTTTGTAGGGAAGTGACCTAAAGGAGATGTTAGAGAAGTCAGTAACAACCTGCTAACTGTGGAAACCAGCGAGAAGAAGATGCTTTTGTGTGGTGACAGCACCATATTGCATAAAAGGCATTCTGGAAGTAAGCCTTGAAAGTTGGGAAGTCACCTACTGGGGAATTTTGCTCAGAGACCACAAGGCAGGGTGGGCACAGGTGGCAGAGGGGGCCTACTATGTGCCATTCACTTCCACCGACTTTTTCCTCACTCATCAACCAAACTGATTTAGTGTGGGCAGGGGGGAGGGGGAATTTCTATTTTTACAAATGAGGAAATAGAAGCAAAGAGAGGCTCAATAAGCTTCCAAGGCCCGGAGTCTGCCTGATTCTAAAATGGTACCTCTTTCCCCCCCACCCCTTGCCACTGGGGCTCTAGAGGCTGCCCAGGAATCAAGGAAAGGAAGCAGGGGTGGGGTGCAGAACAGGGGTGGAGGTAGGAGGTAGGATGGGGCCTTCCCCAGCTGCCTCTAGGAAGGTGCCCTGCTTAAGGTGGCCAGGAGTAAAGAGTTCATGATGGCTGCTATTGTGTGATATGGGGGGGGGGGCATGTGCCTTCCCCCTGGGCCTCTCGAGAGAGCGAAAGGCTAATGCTCGGGACAGGTGAGTGGCTCCCTTTGGTCCCTTGGGCCCCCTGAATCTGTAGTCAGGACCCCGGGACCTTTGTGGATGTGGCCAAAGGTCTAGCAGCGCCACCAGGACCCTGTTCTCTTCCTATCCAGGCCATGTGCCTGCTGCTTCTCAGGGCCTTCCTGGAGGTCTCATGGCTGTCACTTCCTTTCAGACTGTTACACAAGGTCAGCCACCTGTCATATCGTCTCAGAGACTGGTGTCCCCTTATACTCTCAGAATGTCTGTGTCACTAACAGATTGTTTCTTCTTCCACACAGGCCATAAGATCTGTCCCCCTTCGCAGCTGTACCCCAGGACTGGCACCCCAGACAAGAGCCAACCAATTAATATCCCCACATCTCTTCCCCACAGGCGCTTCCCTTTTCTACAACAATTCAGGGGGGTCTCCAGGAGGGACTTCAGATTACTGTCCATGGGACCATCCTTCACTTCAGAGACAGGTATTCGGCTGTCATTGCTGTCTGTCTCCAGCCTGTCTCTTAGCAACGGGAAGCTGATGGGTTTGAAGGGCCAGCCCCTGCCCACAGCTCCTGGCATCACCACATCCAGGGGCGCCATTAACATAGATTCTGGAGAAACCAAGGCCCAACAGCTGAGTGGCAGGACCTGGTCACCAAAACAGAACTTTCCTTACTTTCTTTAGAAGTTCCCAACTGCTTTGGAGCCCTAGTTCTGCTGACATGGAAGCATTTAAAGTTGCCATCAAAAAAAAAATTTGGTGGGCTGGTAACTCAAAGGGTAAAACGCCTGCTTAGCAAGCATCAAGAACCTGAGTTCAAACCTCAGTACCACCACTTGTTCTGAGCTGTGGCTCAAGTGGTAGAGCACGTATCTAGCAAGCATGAAGTCCTGAGTTCAAACCCCAGAACCATCAAAGAAAAAAGAAATTTGGTGCTAACCTAGCATGCTTGATGCACTAGATTCAATCCCCAACACTGGAAGAAAAGAAAAAAGGTATTGTGTTGTACACCTGTAATCCCAGCACTTGGGTTGGGAGGCAGGAGAGTTGCAAGTTTGAGACCAGCCTGGGCTATACAGTAAGACCCTATCTCAAAAACCAAAAAACCAAACCAAATCAAAATTAGTTCCTCCTGATTTAAGGTCTTTTCTAGAAAACACAAAGTGAACTCAAATGTCAACATCAGTGCCATTTCCCAACCAGCTCCTCCTTCCCAAGGAGGGCTGTCTGGGGACAGGGTAGAGCTCACAGGTCTTCTCAGGCTGGAGAAGCCTCTGACCCTCACACAGCCCTGGCTGGCATCATCTGAGTCCTCCTGGGTGATGTGAAGTGTGTGGCCCTCATCCAGTTTTGTTGGGGTCTATGTGGCAGCTGCCTGCTGAATCCATAGTGCCCCCAGAAGCCCCTCTGGATTCACAGCTGCCTGTTTCATTCCCATCCAGCTTTCCAAGCACTACCTCACTTAATCACCACTCCCCTTCCTAGACATAGAACTTGAGTGTAGTATGGGTCAGGGGTCATGCCAGATGACACATAGTGTTGAGCTGAGGTCTGAGTCCAGGCTTGCCTGACTTCAGGGCCACCACTCCCACACCTCAAAACACACCAATGCCCAATGAGGGCCAGACACACACAGTGAATGTTTTCATATCTGTAGAGCTAATATCTATTCTAGGCCTTTCCTTTTATACCCTGCCTTTGTGTAGTGCCATCAATTTCACATAGCCTTGTTCTTGTCTTTCACAGTTGAGCAGGCATGGGCTGCTTCCAACAATGCTGGCCTCCAACAAGTGTCCACTGGGCACCAAAAGCCTTTCCCTTATAGCATGTTAATGACTTCCGCCTCTGATAGCCATTTGTCATGGGTTTTCAAGACCCATGCTTCTTGTGGCCAATGCCAGCACTTTTCCTTACTAGTTTCTACTTATGATTGGAGGAAATCACACAGGAAGGCAAAATGTAGTAATTGCCAAAACCCCGTTGGGTCCAAATTAGATAAACAAGAGGAATCTGTTCTGCCATCTGTGGCAGTAAACCAGACTACAGAAGACCATTTTCCCTCTCCCTAGGTTTGTCGTGAACTTGCAGACTGGTTACAGTGAAAACAACATCGCCTTCCACTTCAACCCCCGGTTTCAGGAGGGAGGGTTTGTGGTTTGCAACACGAAGCAGAATGGAAGCTGGGGTCCTGAAGAGAGGAAGATGCAAATGCCCTTCCAGAAGGGGGTGCCCTTTGAGCTCTGCTTCCTGGTTGAGAGATCAGGTTTCAAGGTGAGCAGGAACCTCTCTCCCCAGATAGGCCCCCACCCCTACCAGGCGTGGTGAATGATCTTTCAGTAGTCACATCCATTGAGATCAGGCCAGCAACACCACTCCACAACCCACGTGACCATGGCCTTGTCAGTGCCTCATCCATGGCTGCACAGGCCCCTTATGTACTTTCACTTGCAGCTACAGGTACACCTGCTGCTTTTTTCACTCTGAAAACAACAACTATTTCCATCCCCACGTTGTTGTGTTTTGGCCTGATGTGTCTTTTTTTTTTTCGTGGTGGTGGTGGTGGTGTGTTTAGAACTCAGGGCTCTGTGCTTGCTACACAGCCACTCTACTAATCGAGCCACACCTCTAGTTCTTTTTGCTCTAGTTCTTTTCTGAATAGGGTCTCGCAGTTGTGCCTTGCCAGCCTGAACCACACTTTTTTTGCATTGTGTATTTTTTAGATAATGTCTCATGAATTATTTGCCAGCCCTGGCCTTAAATCATTATCCTGATCTCTGCCTCCTGAATAAGTAGGATTACAGGCATGAGTCACCACCCCCAGCTCACAATCCTCCTATTTATGCCTCCCAAGTAACTGGGATGACAGGTTTGTACCACCACGCATATTATTATTGGTTGAGATGGGGGTCTCACTAACTTTGCCTGGGCCGGCCTCAAACCATGAATTCCCTGGATCTCTACCTCCAGAGTACCTAGAATTACATACATGAGCCACCACTCCCAGCCTCATGTGTCTTTAAATTTCAAGTTAATCCCATTCCTCTGCTGTGGCCATTCTTCCACTGCAGGCCCCTTGTAACATCTTTTTTTTTTTTGCAACACCATTCTAGCCTTTCTCCAGGTTCTACTAAGGGTGTAGTTTTGTAGGCTGCTGCCAAGTACCTCTGCGGACAGAGTGGTGTCTCTGTGCCTGGGGGATCTGGGAGGGGTGAGTATGTCACTCCGAGCTTATCTGTGTGACATAGAGGTTCCCATGTACTGAGTGTACAACCTGAGGCCCCCTCTCCTCGGCTCCCCACCCGCACTTTTATGCATAAATATTACCCCAGGTGAGCTTTGTTAGAAAGACAAGCCTATGCAATAAGCAAACAACAGTAAGACCGAAGAGCTGGCTACTGGAGCCAGGTGGAGAGCAGATTGGATGCAGGTGGAGTTCCTGCTCTGTCACTGGCCTAGCACTGAAGACGACAACCCACCTGAGGGGCTGGATGTAACAACCAGGCTCAGGTCATCATTTCTAGAAGCAGGGCTCCAGAAAATCAGGTGTGCTCCCACCCTGGCCTGGGGCTAATTGCCCAGTGTGAATGCACTCTCCTTTGACAGGTGACAGTGAACAAGAACTTCTTTCTGCAGTACTCACACCGAGTGCCCTTCCACCTCGTGGACACCCTCTCCATCGCTGGCCCACTGCAGCTGTCCTACGTCAGCTTCCAGGTCAGATGGAACACCTGGAACCTGGCCAGGGTTGGGGTGCAGGACCCAATTTGCCTGAGATGAGGCCCCTTGGGTAGGACCAAAGGTACTAGCTTGGCTGGCTTTGGGGACATGCCAGTTCCCTTGTGTTGGTGCCTGTTCTCTTCTGTCACTCTGTCTCTCCTTTAGCTGCTGTCTTTGTATGGACTACCTTGGCCACTCCTCTGTCACTCTATTTTCATGCTGGTTAGATGGCCAGGTGGTTCCAGAGACAGCCATGTTTGGGGATCTGAACAGAATGAAGTTCAAAATACCAGCTCTTTCATGCTCCTGGTCTATGGGATATTTGAGTAGTGACTTGACCACGTCCAGCCTTGTTTCCATCTGTGGATGGGCACAGGCAGTATCCCTGCGAGGTTATGGGTTCTATGACATGCTATGGGTTTAACACAGCTGCTGGCTCAGGTTCTGTTTGACCTTCCCTGTGTGTTTTGACATGTTGCCAATGTGTAAAAGTGAGGAGGTACCATGTGGGAATGGGAGATGGTGTGGTGGGCCACAGTAAGTCCCTGGCAGCTACCACATTGCCTCCTTCCCTGACTCTGTTCCCTGCAGGGGTAGGAGAGACAGGGAGATGGAGACTGCCAACCTGCCACTGCACGCTGTGGCCTAACCCTTTCCTTGTTGCCCCCGCCTGCCTGCCTGGCCTGTCTTTCACCTGCCTTCTGTTCCTCCTCGGCTGCAAGAAAGCTTCTCATCACCCTGTGCTGCCTTTTGTTTTAACAGAAATTTTACACAGTCCCTGTCCAGCCTGTCTTCTCCACGGTGCAATTCTCCCAGCCTGTCCGTTTCCCTCGGAAGCCCAAAGGGCAGAAAACGAAAGTGAGTTAACACTGCAGCAGCAGAGGCTGAGCAGTTAGCAGGAGGGACAGAGAGCCCAGGGCTGGTCCAGCCACATGCCAGCCAGGGCCTGCAGCCCACAGCACACCCACCCAAGGGTCCCCTGTTTGCCTCCACCAGGCACCCAGAGCTGGGGACCTGCACCTTCTTAATGTTCTCCAGTGAATCAATGTCTCTCCTTCCCCAAAGCCACTGCCTTGGTCCAGGCCACTGTGACTTCTCACCATGACAATTATGACAATTATGGTTTAGTTCCTCCACCCACCATTGTGCAGTGACTTTCCTATAAACTCGTTCCCTCTCATCCTCTCTCTGTACCAATCTTCAAAGCCCCAAGCCCTTCTAAATACAGCTCAAATAAAGCAGGACATAGCAGAACACCCTTTATTTTCACTCCAACCACCCCTCCCACCTCCACGCCACCCATGAAGCTCACGCAGCCTCCACTGCCAATGGAGGCTTTCTTGGGCCACCATGCTATCATCCATGCTGTCACCAATGCTCGAGCTACCCTTGCCCACCTTGCTCCAGGCAAACTAACAATTGCATGGCAATCTCTGCTTAAAAGTGAATCCTCTATGCAGTTTTCTCTGCCCAAAAGATGGCTGGAGCTCCTCTCTCTGTCCCCATGGACTGTGTACACGTCTGTGCCATGCCAGTCATGACACCCTGTTATAACCGTGTTTATGTGTCCCCATAACTCCAGCTCCACCTCCCCTATCCCCACAAGCCCCTAGAGGGTTGGCATTGTGACTTTTTCATGTGTGTATCCCTGGCAACTTGCACAGTGCCTGATACAGAAGGGACTCAAAAAATGACGTGCACTGCTGTTTCACAGTCAGGGAGAATAGGAAGCAGTGAGGGCAACAGGGCCTGCTGTATAGGACAGGAGCCAGGACAGGAAGGCAGGCAGTCTTCCTGTGACCCATGATGACCAGACAGGGTTCTGCCTCCCGCCACACTAAGGTCAGTACCGGCTAAGCCACAGGAAACCTTGGCAGGGGAGCCAGCCTTGGTCTTGGCCTGGAGAGGATGTAGGGTTTGGTGGTTACAGCAGAAAGAACTGGGCACCAGGGCTGGGGACTTGGCTTGAGTGGTAGAGAGCTTGCCTTGAACTTGGTACCATTGGGGTTTTCTCACTTGGTACCTGGGCCAGCCTGGGCCAGTTGCTTAACCTTCCTGAGCCTCATGGCCTCACCAGGGAAATAGCAGCTAAGGCTGCCCCCCTCATCAGAAAGCACCGAGTCTCAGGCCTTGGCTCTCAGTGAGGCCTCTGTAAATGCTAGTGTTCACCTGAGGGGTGAATGGGGCACCAGAAGCAGGGTTCTTGTCTGTGAGGGCTCAGGGTAGTGGTATGGTCTGCGTCAAACCTGTCCCCTCAGGAAGCCAGGGGGACACTCTCCCCCAATCCTGACACCCCTGTGCACGTGCATGTGAGAATCTTCATGCTGCAGGCTCAGGAATAATGGTTGCCTGGGAGCAGGAAGGAAGTGATTGTGTCTGGTGAGGCATTTCTCACCACAGTAGCCCCACCTGGAGTTGGGCAGTTGCCTCTCCCCCAAGAGGCCCCAGCGATAACCATCATTTTAATTTTTTCATCCTTTCAGCCTGCAGGCATGTGGTATCCTAAACCGGTTCCTACTGTAAGTCTCTTTTTCTCTTCTTAGATCCTCTTCATTGGGTTCTTCTTGTGGGTTAAAAGGAAAAGGCAGGGTCTCCCATAGGAGGGTTGGCACCGAGGGCAGAGCCCGGACCATCTGCCTGGCCTGGGTGATGGTGGTGGGCGGGGCTGGGGTGGGGTTGGCTGATCTTAATGATCTTGCTCAAGCCTCTCTCATGTGGGCAGCCTCAGAGCATGGAGGCCCCGCATTCACCTCTCCTGCCCCTAAGTGAGGCTATGTCCACAGGCTTCCCTGAGAAGAAAGATGGGTCAGAGGTCATAGCACAGCCTCCTTCTCTGGAAATTTGCCCCTCTCTAATCCCCTTGAGTCAGGGAATACCTCTACCCACCCTTGATGTGTATATATGTGTGGGGGTGGGGGTGGGGGTGTGAAGTTTCAGTTGAGCAATAGCTGTGGTTATAGCTCAAGGTCAAGGTTCCTCAAGGTTGCATGTCAAATCATGCCCTCTGGTGGCGGATGGTGGTCCTCATTTTGATGAGAGCTGGTTAAACCTATTTCTTTCTTCTAGGCTCAAACTGTCATGCACACAATGCACTGCGCCCCTGGACAAATGTTCCCTGTAAGTCTAAAATTTCTGGTCAGCTCACACCTCCCAGCCTCCCACTTCTGAAAACAAAAGAATTCCCTGGAGTCTCAGAGTTGGGACAAAAAGAGGAAGATGGGGACAGTTGGGGCTGGGCCCTCTGCTCAGAAGCTATGTAGCTAAAACTGTCCTTGGGATAGCAGAGATTCTGGAGTAATCAAAGAAATAAGTCCTTTAGGGACCCACAGGGAAACTGGTCCTTGTGTTACGTAGTGGGGGGCACCCCGGCCCAAGCCCCAGGTTCTTAGCCCTGCATCCCAAGGAAAAGCCCCTGTGATGTCACTACTGACCACAGGCTTAGCTCTCTTCTCCTCTTGCCAGTGCAGATCAGGTGGGTGACATGGAGTTAGTGGAGCTGCCTGTGAGGGGCTGAAAGGGAGGGGACACAGCAGGCAGTTTAAGGAAGGCTGATGAACAGTGGCAAGGAAGGGAACAGGAGCGTCCAAGGGTTGAAACCTCACAACCTCAGTTTCATATTGAAGTGTCCCCTCTAGAATGTGCAGGTCCCTGTGTGTGCACGTGTGTGCATGCATGCACACACACACATTGAACTTTCCCATTTCTTCTCACAGAATCCTGGAATCCCACCTATGGTGTTCCCCAACCCAACCTATGTAAGTGGTTTCGTGGTGAGGACTGGAGATTTCAATGTCTGGGAAGGGTGAGAGGTGAAGGGTGTATTGGGTGCGCTCCTCTTGTTAATGGCAAACAGTATTTTCAGAAGAATCCAAGCAGAAGTGTGGATGTAAATGGGATTTATTAAAAGTTAGGGAAAGGGAAATACAAAGGGAGCATGGTGGGTGCAGGTGGAGTCTGCCAGCAGAGAAAGCATGCTTTTCTTTTTCAGGTGCTTTTAATTAGTAGTTCTTCAGTTTTTCCTTTAATTACCATTTCATCTTCAAGTTCTGAGATTCTGTCTTCTGTTTGTTCTATTCTGCTGGATTGGCCTTCCGTTTTGTTTTGCAGTTCTGTTTCGTTCTTTTTTCTGAGGTTTTCCATATCCTGGCAGTTTTCTTCTTTAATGTTGTCTATTTTTGTCCTGAGTTCATTTATCCATTTATTCATTGTGTTCTCTCTTTCACTTTGGTGTTTATACAGTGCTTCTATGGTTTCCTTTATTTCTTCTTTTGCTTTTTCAAATTCTCTATTTTTATTGTCTTGGAATTTCTTGAGTGTCTCCTGTACATTTTGGTTGACCCTATCCAGTATCATCTCTATAAAATTCTCATTGAGTACTTGTAGTATGTCTTCTTTTAAATTATTCTTGTGGGCTTCATTGGGTCCTTTGGCATAGTTTATCTTCATTTTGTTGGAGTCTGGATCTGAGTTTCTGTTCTCTTCATTCCCCTCTGGTTCCTGTACTAATTTTTTGCTGTGGGGAAACTGGTTTCCCTGTTTTTTCTGTCTTCCCGTCATTGTCCTTGGTTTTGTTACTGTCCCTGTACTGTGTGCAATTAAGTATTTTCTAGCTTGTAATAATAACAATGGTAATATTTAGAATGGAAGGGTGAGCTGAGATGGAAAGCAAGAAGTTAAAGAAAAGGGGAAAACAAATATACAGACAAGAGGGAGAAAGCAGAACAAGGTATCAGACAAGAGAGTTTCAAAGGTATAAACAGGGAGTGTTAGTGTACTAATCGACAGTAAGCTGAACAGACATTAGAGAGACAGAGGATTGAAAATCAAAGATAAAAAAATAAAAAAATAAGTAAATGAAAGAAATATCTATATATAAAAATGAATTAAAATAAAATGGAAAATAGAAAATTAAAAAAAAAAACAAAAAAACTTCCAAGTTTATATGCAATGCAGTTTCAGTCTTAATAATTTGGGTGTCCGTCTCAATCTCCAGTCCTGGAGTTGGTGCCTCAGATGTTGTTCTGTAGTTGTCTCATCAAAGGGGATGCATAAAGTAGAACAAAACTACACTCACACACTCACACTTACACACACACACACACACACACACACACACACACACACACACAAAAGCCCCACCAAGTGTCCCCAGTTCAAATGCAATACAGTTTCAGTAAGTTTTTCGGCTTGCAGGTGTAATTCGGTTGTTCTCTCATCAAAGGTAGGGAGAAAAAGAAAAAAAAGCGTCTGGAGGCAGTTCTGAGAGTGGTATCTGCACCTGTGGCTTGCCTGCCTGCTGCTCTCAGCCTGTAGCTGGCGGCGTTATTTATGCAGATCTCTGGGGTGAGCTTAGCACTCACCTGGTCCCACAGGCTTTGTTTGCTCAGAGTTCTCCTGTGCGGCGGCCTCTGCTACAGGCTTTCCCCTTTCCAAGCACTGGGAAAGGTGCTACTGCCCCGCGTTGTCAGGCCTGCGTGTTTATTTACAGTTCACGTGGGAAGTGGGTCTTCCCTCCTCTCACAAGCGTCCCCGCTCCTGGTTGCTGGGCGCGCCCCGCTCCCGCCAGAGCCTCTCCGGCCCGCCCGGCTCGTTTATTTACAGGCCCGGGAAGGATTCCCTTCCCCCAATCTTCAGCGCTCAGGGCGCCCCACCCTCTTTCCAGCGTGTCTTGACTGTTCTTATTGCTTAGTACTCAGTTTCTCTTTTTTCCCGGGTGGAGGTCAGTCTGTCCAGGGGGCTATGCTGCTCTGGCCCAGGCTTGTCTGTGGGGCTACCGCGGTACCGCGAAGCTCACCTGGTCCGCGTCTTCCCAAGCCGTCTGGGTGCCGGCCACTGGCGGCCCCGGGGGCCCTCCTTGGTTCTCCGTTTAACGTGAAGTGGAGATTCTCTGCGCCGGCTGGAGGTGTGGAGGAGTCAAAGTTATGCCTTTTCTCGGTGATTATGCCTGCAAAGTGTGTCTCCAGCGTCTCTCCAAGATTTCACTATAGGAGGGTCGCTTTCTGCTTCCTCCCTCTAGCCGCCATCTTGGAATTTCCCTTTTTCAGGTGCTTTTAAAACCTAACCTCCCCTAACCCATGGTGAGGGCAGACCCAGGAGATTCCCTCCCAATAATGAATGAGTGGGGAGGGGCATGGGTGGTTCCCAACCAGGTGCAAGTGGCCTGGGCCATCCCCGGGCAACCTACAAGAGCCCCAAACTTTACCACCTTCTAGCCTCCTTCAAATCCCCTGAGAGACAATTTTCCAAAAAAATTCTTTCTTTGAGGTTGCTGAAGGGGGTGGTCCATCTGTTGTATCTGCTTCAAGCAGATCCTACCTATAAAGGGAAATTGTCTCTATTTCCTTCCCTTGGGGCTTATTAGGCACAAGATGTCTGAATTATTGTCAGCATAGTTAAGGTTCCTCATGGAGATCTGGGTTGCTCTTGGAGATCTCGTTCATCTGTAGAGATCGATAGCCCTGTTGTCTCATGATTCGGGTCCTAAAGGCTTTCATCCTGGAAGAGATAAATCTGGTTTAGAAGGCATGACCCAAACATGAACAATGATAGGAGCATCCGAAGGGGCCCTGCCTGGTATAGCAGGAAGGATAATATAATTTTGAAAAGTGACAGGGACTCTTATGGTTACTTTGCCTATAGGTGTTTATATCTGTAGCTATTTTTAACTCTTAGATGACTCTATTTTGGACTGTCACTATAGTGGGCAGTTAAAGGCTGGCTACATTAGGGGCCAGGTGCACCAGGGGCCAGGTGTCAGGCCAATTAGAGAGTAAACATCAGTGAGTCAGTTCTGTACAGAAAGAAGACTCCTTAAAGAAGTGTCCTTAAGTAGAAGTTAGATACCATTGAAAGTTATATTGTCTTTGTGTAAGCAGAAGCCCTTAGTCAAAGACATTACTTTGCCTTTTGCCAGAAGCCTAGAAGGCTTAAATATTAGAGCACATGCATAAGAGTCCCTTTTTAAAATCTCTCAGCTTTGGTTACTTTTAGAGGTCTGGCATAATCGCCTCCCACTGGATCTGGAGAAGTCCCCTCATTTGTGCAGTCCTTTTGAACTGTCTCAGGTACCACTTGTTCCTCTAAGAAGTTGGAGGGATGCTGACCACTTAGGGTGGTCTTTAACTGTTTCTCTGAACAGTCATCTCTGAAGATTTTGCCAACTTGGCAGTTTGCTACCTCAGTGTGGGAGTGGCTTCTCCTGGAAAGTCCAGAAAGTCAGATTTTGTCCCATGGAGAGGGGAAGTGTAACATCAAATAAATCAGAAGTCAGTGCCAATGTGACCTTTCTGGCCAAATTAAGCAACAAAGAGACTTAGTAAAAAAACAGCTCTTAGGCTGGGCCTAATTAAACCTAATTGTCCATCTCATAGGGGAAGTACCAACACCTTTTTTTTTTTTTCATTTTTCTTTTATTATTTATATGTGCATACAAAGCTTGGTTCATTTCTCCCCCCTGCCCCCACCCCCTCCCTTACCACCCACTCCACCCCCTCCCTCTCCCCCCCCCAATACCCAGCAGAAACTATTTTGCCCTTATTTCTAATTTTGTTGTACAGAGAGTATAAGCAATAATAGGAAGGAACAAGGGTTTTTACTGGTTGAGATAAGGATAGCTATACAGGGCATTGACTCACATTGATTTCCTGTGCGTGGGTGTTACCTTCTAGGTTAATTCTTTTTGGTCTAACCTTTTCTCTAGTACCCGTTCCCCTTTTCCTATTGGCCTCAGTTGCTTTAAGGTATCTGCTTTAGTGTCTCTGCGTTAAGGGCAACAAATGCTAGCTAGTTTTTTAGGTGTCCTACTTATCCTCACCCCTTCCTTGTGTGCTCTTGCTTTTATCATGTGCTCATAGTCCAATCTCCTTGTTGTGTTTGCCCTTGATCTAATGTCCACATATGAGGGAGAACATACGATTTTTGGTCTTTTGGGCCAGGCTAACCTCACTCAGAATGATGTTCTCCAATTCCATCCATTTACCAGCAAATGATAACATTTTGTTCTTCTTCATGGCTGCATAGAATTCCATTGTGTATAGATTCCACATTTTCTTAATCCATTCGTCAGTGGTGGGGCATCTTGGCTGTTTCCATAACTTGGCTATTGTGAATAGTGCTGCAATAAACATGGATGTGCAGGTGCCTCTGGAGTAACCTGTGTCACAGTCTTTTGGGCATATCCCTAAGAGTACCAACACCTTTAAATTGCTGTAAATTGTTAGCAGGTAACAGTTATAAAGTTTTTATAAGGAAAACACAAAATGACCCCAATACTTAAGAATGGCTGTCCTGGCTGATAGGTAAGATTTTTCAGAGTCATTTTTCATGGGTTTGTCTGTAAATGTTTTTGAAGGATTAGAATAGTAATGACAAAACTTAAAGTAACCATGGTTAATCACAGTTTAGACATTGAATTTTGGTTGGGTAAAGTAACTGGCTAGTGGTTGTCAGTACTGTCAATTAAAAATCCTAAATTTTTAATGGTTAGGAGGTGTTGGTAACCTTAAATAGTACCCGTTTTGATACTCAATTATATATTATATATAAAACAATGTTTATCTAGCCAATGTCAGATAAACCAATGCTTATCTGATGAACAGATATCAGGTAAACCAATGCTTATCTGACAGGCAAATGTCAGGCCTAAATGGTAGAACTTTCAGCATTTGTTATAAAGAGCAGAAATGTCAAAGACCTTATTAGATAGAATGTACCTTAGATAAAAGAACTATAGCTATTTACACGTGTACCTTTTTAACTTTGTAAATGATCCATTTATAAGAATTTTTATTTAGCTTAAACTTTTTTTATTGTTATCAGAAAAATACCTTAGGGTTTTGGTAGGATGAAAAGAACAGTAAATAATTTCGAATGGTGCATGAAGAGAACTAGTCCTCTTATTTTTGGTTAGCAGGATTAAAGCATCTCCCAGTACTTAAGGACACAGCCAATTGAGTATGTTGGCTTCTTCTATGCTGGTTGTGGAAAGAGAGACAGGGAAGGGAAGGGGAAAAATACATTCACCCCTCCACCCCTGCACAAGGGGTCCTGAATGGAGTTCCCTATGCTGGCTGGTGGAGAGTGAGAGAGAGGAAAAGGAAAGGAGGAAAGTTGCCCTTTCAGAGAGAGAATGAGAGCTTCCAAGATCTGTGAAACATCCCTCTTGTATACAGGTCCCTCTTATCTGTTTCCATCAGACGTCTCTGGAGCAAGCGAGTAGCAGAGTACTCTGTCTTTCTAGTCATCTGCTCTCCTAAGGGCCCAGCTCTTCCACCCCTGCACAGGGTTCCTGGATGGGATGTTGATCTTGAATGTTAACCCAACTGTTAAACATCAGAACTGTTATGCACTGGGCAAAGAGGCTGATACCAAAACAACATGTAAAATGAAAAGATAACAATATGTAGGAAGACAATCTGTTGAGTGTTAAAAAGGAAGCATCTTAATATGAACTGTTGTAACCAGTATAAAATTAACTATCAAATCCAAATCACAGCAAAGTAAGCTTGGCTGATACAAACGCATCACTCGTGGTCAGTTTTCATATCAGGCCATGGAGTTGTAGTCAGCTTGTAAACTGAGAAAAATGGAGAGAACGTGTACATTTTTTAATAATATATCAATTAAGATTAATGTCTCAAATGATTAGATACAGAAACAGAGATAAAGGGGGAAGCATAAGGTCAGGAGACCCAATGACTGAGAGTCATGGCTTAAATATTGTTAAGAAATTACATCCTAGACTGCTGATGTTAACTAACAGAAAGACTTGGGACACGTAGCAGGGTTGTTGTTGATCTGCATGTAGCTCCAGGAGCGCAAAAGTACAGCCTCAGTCATTGGGAGTTAATAATATGCATAATTCAGTATTTTAGGATTAATTACCTTTTGTAGATTCCTAAAAATTGAGGTTTTATCATCCCATCTGGATGGTGAACTTTTGTTTGGTTTTGGTAAAATCTTGTGTCAGCCTACAGCACCAAAAGATCTTGATAGTTATTTTGATAAAACAGAAACCCATTTTTAAAAATATACATTAGTACTTTAAATTTTGACCTTACTTTTAGGCAAACTTTAAACTACTGCCAACCCAATCATACATATATAAACTTATAAGCTTTAAGACCTTAATCTGTATCTTGAAACAACCTTTGTAAAATCCTGAATTTACATAACACTGTTTTTATAAAACTCTTAGTAACTTAATACCTTAAAAGACTTAGGAAGGAAAATTAAATTAAACCGTTTTTAATGACAGCAATCTACAAGAACACATGGGTCAATAAATCTAATTATAAAAGAGTTAAATATAAATTACACTCATGATGGAATGAAACAGATTGAGATTACTGTTTATAAATTTTGTTTTATTCCTAAGGTAGAGAATAGTTGGGTCTGGTTGGGATTAGAACTTTAGATAACTTTTGAGACAGTTGTGTACATTAACTTTATAAAAGTATCTTAGGAACCATCTTAAAGATATCTACACACACACACACACACACACACACACACACAGATGTCATGACTTAGGCATGCCAGAGAGTATAAGCATGCATAATGAACTCAAAATTTAGTGGCCACAAGTACATAGGTGGAGAAAGACTAAGACATACACAGAAAGCATGCAATGACATACAAAATAATCACATCGATTCAGAGTGCACTCTCAAATAAATTTTTGTCATATCTGTAGCAGGTTAGCTAGATTCCTATGTGGTTCACACAGATCTCCATACGAACACTCTACCCTTCATCCAACTATTGACAGATCAATGCAGTAAAAACAACATGTATAAAAACTATATTTATCTAGAGAGTTTTAACCACAAATTAGTTATAATTTTCCTAGGATGGCAAGATGGCATCACCCATCCCTGGAGAGTGGCAAAATGATGCTGAACACATGGTGGTGGCTTCATCATGGTGGCAGCATTTCCTGGGACCACATGGTCTCTCCAGAGGTTCTCTCAAATGGAACACAAAGGCATGTTACATGCAACACATAGGCTCAAAATAGCAATCCATTAGAGGAATAAGACAAGTTAGTCATCCTAATGAAGAGCCCAAATCATTGCTGCAAGGTAAGGTGGGATTTAAAGAGTTTGTCAGCCTCCTTGGATGGGACCTCACTTGACAGTTTTGGAGAATTAGTCATAGGTTATAGAAGCTTTCCCTCTTTGAATATAATGTCCTTTTTTTTTTTTAAGTTTTAAAGGCTTATCTAAATTTAGGATTACTAGGGCTGTGGCAAATGGCAGTAAACCTTTAGGCTTTGAGGGGCTTTGTTAGTGTCCAGTTTATTCCAGGTGTTTATAATTAGATCCTGAGTTGCCTCACAAAGGGGTCTTGTTATTAATCCCAGGATCCAAATCCTGTAGAACCCAGCCATTTACAAATCTACAGTTTGGAAAGGACCTTAAACAAGTTTAGAATCTGACATACTGCATTGAGCTACAGAGAACAAAGCTTTATCAATTTTAAAACAAAAATAATTAGTTGTTAAGAATAAAACCTGTAGTTAAATTGCCTATTTAAAATATCCACACAAAAGAACCCATTCTTTTCAACCTCTTGGCTATACGTAAGCCAAATTTTATCAGCAGAGAACAGTTAAAGTTAGAATGTTTTTAAATGTTTATTGTATATTGCAATTTAGGGTAATAATTGTGATGGACAGCATTAAAGAGTACCATTAAGTTCTCCTTAGCTCAAGTATATATTTAAAACTCGTATTTTAGTGTAAAAACTGACATCTTATTAATAATTAATAGAATAAATTCCCCCTTTTAATTTTGCCTTTTTTTTAAAATTCATTTATTCACATGTGCATAATTGTTTGGGTCATTTCTCCACCTAATTTTGCCTTTAGAGTAAATGAATTACAATATGTTTTTTTATTACAGATATACTTTAATGGGTGACCAATGTCCAATCCTTAATTAAATGGCACTGTTTTTAATTTTAGAAAACATACCTAAGAGAACTTAAATTCATTTGACATTTAAAAACAGCAACAATCATATCACAGCTACACAGATGTAACTGATATGTTAATTTAGATTTTACCTTTGAATGGAATTTAGAAGCTTTGGCTAAGATAGGCAGGTAAGTCCTACTTAGCCCAGGGACGAAGGAGTGTGACCTCAGGTGAGCGTTTCTGTGACCCCTGTAGGCCACGGAGGCAAGGAGAAGAGCACGAGTGGTAGTTGGGATGGGGTGTCCAGGGTGGGCAGAGGGTGGTGGGTAGGCGGGCAAGGGACCAGGTCAGATGAGGAAGAAAGAGAAGGCGGTAGAGAGGAGAAAGGCAGTCCAGCCAGGTGCAGGATCTTGGCCACTAGAGGTGACATCTTTAAATTTTTGTTTGTTTGCCAGAGTGGGTGCTATGGACCCAGGTCTTGGGGCATGCAGTCCCTTCTGCCACCACCACCACAGTCGTGGTCACTGTGTGTCACCTCTGTGCATTAGCGCTGCACGGCTGGCTAGGAGGGGCTGGTGGGCTGTCTCCACCTATGTTCTTGTGGCCACTAAATTTTGAGCTCATTATGCATGCTTATACTCTCTGGCATGCCTAAGTCATGACATCTGTGTGTGTGTGTGTGTGTGTGTGTGTGTGTGTGTGTAGATATCTTTAAGATGGTTCCTAAGCTACTTTTATAAAGTTAATGTGCACAACTGTCTCAAAAGTTATCTAAAGTTCTAATCCCAACCAGACCCAACTATTCTCTACCTTAGGACTAAAAAGAAATTTATAAACAGTGATCTCAATCTATCCACATGGCAACAATAACAGCAAAGGAAAGGACTGGGGAGGGGGGCGGTTAAGGGAAAGGGTGTTGCAGTTTAAGGCAGCCTGGCCTGCCTGTTCTCTGCGAGCCCCATCGTGGGGGGAGTGCACTGGGCAGACAGACACTGTCACCCACCTCTGCAATGGGACCTGCAGGGAAACCCGCCTGTTCAGGAAGACCACTGGGTGCTGACCCAGCATTTCCCGGCTACTTTTCCTGAGGGCAGAGCTCAGTCCATTCCTTTGGCAGTGCAGAAGGAAAAATAGTGAAAAGAATGAGGGTGACCCTCTAAAGTGTAGGGTCTGGGAGCTTACCATTAGTCTTATGAGGTAGAATAGTTTTATTGAGGGAAGGGGAGTCTGTCTGTTCTGCCAGGTGAGTGAAGAGAAGAAAGGCCCAGGGTCTTTTGGTAGGTCTTTTTTTTTTATACCATCTTGAACTTGGAGGTAGGGAGACAATATGTCATCACCTGGCTCCGCTCACCTAGGGGGAGGAGATCTTGAATCAAGAGGGGTTGCAGTCCCAGACTATCCCTAACCTAGTCTGCCTAATACTGACTTTCATAAAAATTAAAAGTATTCATGTAAATTAGCACCCTGTTGAAAGAAGTTTTCAGCTTTAAAATGGTCCCTTCAGTGTGAGAAAATCATACAGCCTTCCCCATTCACACCAAGATTTCTGTGTCCAGCCAAAGTTCCGTTCATGATAGTCGAAGTCACTGCTTTGGGGAACAATGGCAAGTTTTCCATTGGCATTGAATAAGCCAAGTAAAGATGCGTGGCATTTCTTCTGGCAAACATGCAACTCACAGCGAGGTTTCAGATTGGGCTGAGAGTGACATGGATATGGACTTCCCCTGTGGCAGTGGCAGCCCTGTCTGACCTGTCCCCTTCCTCCCAACAGCCGATGCCTTACTTCACCACCATCTGTGGTGGGCTGTACCCGTCCAAGTCCATCATAGTGTCGGGCACTGTGCTGCCCAGTGCTAAGAGGTAAGACAGAGCCTCCAGGAGAAGAGAGACCCCCAGGGTCATTCTGGCCACTCCCTGGCTCCAAGCAGGTGGGGAGGGGCTGGAGCCCAACCTCATTGGCCACACAGGGTCCCTGAGAGCTACCCACTCCAGGTTCCACATCAACCTGTGCTCTGGGAGTGACATCGCCTTCCACCTGAACCCCCGTTTCGATGAGAATGCTGTGGTCCGCAACACCCAGATCAGGAACTCCTGGGGATCGGAGGAGCGAAGCCTGTCCCAAAAAATGCCCTTCAACAGGGGCCAGAATTTCTTGGTAAGGTGCCCACTGTGGTGTGCAGAGGGGATTGTGGGTGCGAGAGCAGAAGGGGTGGAGGAGGACTGGGGTATCTTGAACATGAGGGTTCATGCCTGAGTGATGAGGACGGGGCCTCCCAGAAGAGAGAATTCAAAAAATCGTTGAACAGGTAGAGCTTCTGGTGTCCTGTTCACCCCTCAGGTGAAAACTAACATTTATCAAAGGTCAGATTGAGAGCGACCCTGAGATCCAGTGCTTTCCAGTGAGGGAGGCGACCTTAGCTACTGTTTCCCTGGTGAGGCCATGAGGCTCAGGAAGGTTAAGCAACTGGCCCAGGCTGACCCGGGTACCAAGTGAGGAAACCCCAATGGAACCCAGTTCTAGTTGAGCTCTCTGCCACTCTAGCCAAGCCCCAGCTCTCTCTGGCTTACCAACCACACCCAACATCCTCCCCAGGCCAGGACCAAGGCTGGGCTGCCCTGTAAAGGTTTCCTGGGGCTCAACTAATGCTGACATTAGTGTGGCTGGAGGCAGAGCCCTGTCCATGTCATCTGGGCAGGCAGAGGCCCTCCCCCAGTACAACTGCAGGATTAGCCTCAGGGGGGCTGCTTGCCTTCCTGTCCGGGATTCTGTGACTAATCTCCCCACTGAGGCAGGAGTTAATAAATGCTTTTTACACATGTGCAAAAGAACTCATAGGAGCAGGTAACTTGACTGAGATCCTGCCTCTAATCTGTGCCAAGAATGAGGCACCATCACTTATTCATTTGTTCATTCAACCATCACTTATCAGCCACTTCATTGAGTCCATTTTGTGCAGGAAGAATCCCCACGTGTTGATGGTGCAGCCACAGAGCAGACAGACAAGGTCCTGCCCCATGGAGTTTGCAATCTAGGGAGGGAAGAAAGCAGGAGATTAATGCATGAACCGACTATGCAGATAGGGCGGGTGCTGTGCAGGGAAGGACAGGTGTTGTGCAGAAAGCAAGACAACACGGAGATGGAAGGACCCCTGGGAGGCAGCAACTGATGCAATTCTTAGAGGTGGGCGGGGCCTGTTCCAAGCAGCCAGGCCAAGGGAACAGGGTGGAAAGTGAGGGCAAGTGAGGTGTGGGGTGTAGCCAGAAGTCAGCTAACCACAAGCATGTCCTCAGATCCTGACTACGCAGTCAAATCACCAGAGAGCTCAAAAAAGAAAAATCGATGCTGAGCCCTGCCCTAGGCCAATGCTGCCGTCAACTTGAGTATCCTTAAAATTACAACCAGGGGTAGTGACTCACGACTGTAATCCCAGGTACTTGGTAGGTGAAGACAGGAGGTTCTTTGTTCAAAGCCAGCCAAGGTTTAAAAAAAAAACAAAAGAAAATAACAAGGCAAAAAACAGAGAGACCAATCTCAAAGAATAAACTGTGCATAGTGATGCACGTGTAATCTAAGCTACACAAGAGTCATGGTCCAAAGCCAGCCATGGGCAAAATGCAAGTCTCTATCTGAAAAATAAGTAAAGCAAAAAGGGCTGGAAGTGTGGTTCAAATAGTAGAGTCCCTGCCTAGCAAGCACAAGTCCCTGAGTTCAAACCCCAGTACCACCAAAAAATAAAAAAATACAAATACACCCAAGAGATTATGCTCTGCATCAGGGTTGAACATTTCTGGTCTAGAGCTTGGTGGGCCATGAAAGGTGCTTGGATTTTAATCCACTGAGAAGCCATTGGGCTGGTTCAGTCAGGGAACAACAACTTTGCTTTTCAGACAGCTGTGTGATGCCAGGTAAGTGACTGACTGCTCTTTGTCTCGGTTTTCTGATCTGCAAAGTGAAGCCAGTAACTACCAAGCTGCAGGAATGGGCTGAGACCATATCCGTAGCATCCTTAGGACAGTCCCCAGCACACAGTATGTGCGATTTGAACGTTAGCCATTGCCAGTGGACAATGGCATCTTCACATTTGTGCCCCTCCTGCCCCATGCAGAAAGTGCTGGGCGTAAAGACTAGCTAGGCTGCTGCTACTGGAGTCCAGGTGTGCAGCACTGAGGACACCGAGGGCCTGAGCCAGTGTTCCTGTCCTAGTATCTCAGGGTCCCACTGGAGACTGAGCTGAGGGTGGGGTGGGGCCTGAGGAAGCTCCACTGGGAGGGGGCAGGAGTTGGGGGAGCAGGGAAGGCTTGTGGAGGGGTTGGATCCTGAAGGGTGATGGCGGTTACGCCATGGGGATGATGTGCAGGGTGGGAACAACATTCCAGGGGCAGGAACAGCATATGCTGAGGTAGCAGGGAAGACAAGTGTGTGTGCAGCTGGATCGCAGGGGTGGGGTGTGTTCCTGTTTAGGACTAAAGGCTTTCCACGTGTCGTATGAATGCCATGGCCTGTCTCCCCAGGTGTGGATCATGTGTGAAGGCCACTGTTTCAGGGTGTCTGTGGACGGACAACACCTGTGTGAATACTTCCACCGCCTGCAGAACCTGCCAGCCATCAACAGCCTAGAAGTAGCAGGTGACATCCAGCTGACCCACGTGGAGACATAGGCTGGCTCCCTGGCCCTGGGGATGAGGGCTGGGATATGCTGTCTGTGTCTCCTTGTCAACCCCCACGGCTGTGTTTCAACCCCAGTCCCTCAAATCCTGCCATCTGAGGAAAGCGTCATAGCCAGGTGCTCAGTACAGGTGAAGCTCCTGTTTGCTCCCCTGGTTGCATATGGCTCTCAGCCACATTCCTGACCTCTACTTAACTCCACTCTGGTCCCAACCTACCACTTGTCCACTCCAGCAGTGAGGTGACCTCCTCAGCCCCTCCCCTTTCTCTAACCTTTAATCTTTCTCCTCTCCTTGTACCTTACTCCAAATCCTTCACCCCCTCCAGTGGGATGATGACATCCCACTGGCCAGAGCTTTCTCAACAGTGGCTCGCCCCTCCCAGTGTGCTTAAAATCAAGAAATAGAAGCACTTGTTGGCACATGCATGGGATGACTGATTTATTGGATCTGTCTGGAGTCATTTTGGAGTCTGTGGAATTGAGCATCCCTGCTGAGGGGTGTGGGAGGAGACAGCACGGGCCTCTTTGGGTAGGGATTCTGATGTCCACAACCTGTTTTCCATGGGTCCCTCATAAATCCCACGAGGGTCCTGGAGTAAGTGGGCTGCGGCTCTGGCCTCAGGTTGGTCTCTTTGATGTAGCAATCTTGGTGGCTGAGTGACCCCAGGAAACTGCTCCATGCTCCCAAGATGGGAAAAGGGTCATCCAGAGACTGTGGTGGCCATGGCAGGCCAGGAATCCAGTTGCCAGGCTGCTTCCTCCAAAGCTTGTACCCAAGTGGGAGGGGAATGGGGCCAGGAAAAGCTGCCCAGGAAGATTTCCTGCTGTGGGTTTCCTGGTGCTGGGGATTCAGATGTGCAAAGGGGATGCGGCTCCTTCATGGCAATTAGGACCACTGTTGCCAGACCTTCTTGTTAGTTGGTTGGTTTCAAAGAGACACTAGAAGTCTGGATTTTTATGTGTAATCTCACACTTTTCAAATGTTGGCTTATATTTTTAAAAACAGTATCAGGTCAAGTAAAACAAGTTTGCAGACTGGAATTGGCCACCCAGTTGTAGGTTTTGTCCCAGCCATGGCTGCCCATGGAGGCATCTGGATGGATTACAAGCTGGGACACTGAGCATGGGGGTTGGGGGGACACTTATTCTCCTCATTCTGTTAAGTGCTGTGCTCCAGTGACATGCTCTGACTACGGCAGCAGACCCCCATGCCTTCCCCAATGCCCACAGCAGGAAGGTAGCTGTGTTAGTCAGCTTTCTGGTGCTGTGACAAAATACCCAAGAAAACACCTTAAAGGGGGAAAGGTTTATTTTGAGTCACTATTTCAAAGGGTTCAACCATGGTCACATGGACCAATCACTGAACTGTGTTGAGGCAAATCATGTGGTAGAGCAAAGTGGCTCAATTTATGGTGGCCTTGAGGAGAGAGAGAGAGAGAGAGAGAGAGAGAGAGAGAACACCTCCAGGGACCCACTCCCTCATCTAGATCCCACCTCCTAAGTGTGCATCACCTCCCAACAACCCATCAATTATGAACCCGTCAATGGCTTCATCCATCCGTGAGGGCAGAGCCTTTGGGATCTGATTACTTCCCCCAAAGCCTCAGCTCTGAACACTGCCGTGTTGGGGACCAAGCCTTCAACAGATGAGCCTTTGGGGGACATTCCAGATGCAAACTATGACAGTGGCTATTCATAAGCCAAGGAGAGACGTCTCAGGAGAAAACAACCTCTGGTTGCCTTGAGTTTCAACTTCCAGCCTCCAGAACTATGAAGTCTGTGGTGGTGTGGTGTTCAGCTCTTGCACATTAATGCATATTCCAAAGGTGGTTTTTCAACTGTGGAAGTGGGGCTTTGGGGGCACCTCCTTGGTGCAGAGGAGCTCAGAAATTCTAGTGTCTGATCAACAGATTAGGAAAAATCAGTGAAGGAGCTAGACAAGACTACTGACAGTGTCTAAGCAATATGGTGATTAAGATACAGCAATAAAATATATGCGTGGGACAGGAAAACCAGGATATAGAGATCTGGATCCATCCATGACATCTACAGAAAGTAAATGTTACGTTGATGGAGCAGAACCATGGTATTGAATAAGGTAGCAAAGGGAGACATTTGAACTTACAGAGGATGTGCACAAAATGTGCCCTTTGGCCACACCTTCCCTGGTTTTATTCTCATTAGTGCTATGGTTATGATGACTTCAATAAAATGATTCTGGACCCAGACCAGTCTCTTTCTTGCAAAGACTACTCTGAAGGGTCCTGCCTATATTGAAGAGGGTCCTGGGAGTTATCTGGGAGGTATAGTTTTGAGCAGCTAGTCACAAAATAATGGGAACTGAACTGAACAGGAATTGCTACTGAGACACTGTGACTGTGGGCCGTTCACTTTCTGTCTCTGAGCTTCAGTTTCCTCATTTAAAGACAAGAGAATTACTTACCTCTTGCCGGGTAACAAAGTAAGCCAAAACTCTGTGACCTGAAACAACCAGCATTTATTTTTTTCGATTCTGTCTGGGATGGGTTCAGCTAGGTTGCTTCTTCTGCCACCCCAACCTGGGCTCACCCATGCACCTGTCTTTATCTGGTGGCTACCCTGAGGACCTAAGGTGGCCTCCATCAGATGTCTGGGGCCTGGCTGTTGCTGGTTGTCTCTCCATGGGCTCTCTTCATTTTGTCAGACAGCCCAGAATGCCTTAGTAGAGGTGGAAGAATTCCAAGGTAAGACATTCCTTTGGAAAAGCAGGCACCAGAGGACCCACATACCCTTCTCCCTTTTCCCTTCCCCCTCTCTGATCTCTGGGCCCAGGCAGCTTCATGGCCTGGGGAGGGTGTACAGGGGCACCCCAGGGTCTTGGGCAATGTTAGCCATGGCTGGCACCAGGCAGGCACCTGTCGTCTGGAGCACTTGGACTAGACTCCTCTCCATCCTTCCTCCACCTTCTAACTTCTCCTGTGCTATGAGCTGCCAGGCAGAGTTCTGGAGGGCAAATAAGAGGCATGCCTCATCTGACCCAACCAGTCCAGGTTTTAAACTAGCTCCGGAGGGGCGGGGATATGCACCACCAGAGCTTAGGTGCAGGGGAAAGACATGAGCCTCCATGCACCTGTGCCAGAAGCCATGGCCCCACTCCTTAGTGCTGGTCCAGAAGGGCGATGTGCCTGGCTCAGCTCAGAATGCCCAGGATGGCAGCCTCCGCCTGTGAACAGCGCTGGTGCCATCTGTGATCAGAAGAATTCCAAACTCTTCAGATCCCACCAGAAAGAATCCATGACAGGACACGTGGGTGTAAAGGGAGTTTTTTTAAAGTTAAGAAAGGGAAATACAAAGGGAGCCTGGTGGGGCCCAGAGAGCATGTTTGTGTCCTTTAGATGCTTTTAAAACCTGTGATAACTTATGGGAAGGGGAGGCCCAGGTGATTCGCTTTCAATAATCCATCAGTGGGGAGTGGCATGGGCAGTCCCTGACCAAGTGAGGGTGGTTTGGGCCATCCCCAGGCAACATACATGAGCCCCAAACTTTTCCTACTTCTAGCCTGCCTCACGCCCAGCCAAAGAGTGCTTGTGGCACCGAGGTGAGGTGGAGGACAGCCTGGGCCCCACCAGCAGTGTCAGCAGTAGCGGTGGCACCCATGCACCAGTGTCCCGGGTCTCGGACCTAACTCTCTGCGCAGGTAGGGAACCCACCATGGATGTCTGGAGCCAAGCTGTCTAGCCGGACTCTGGGGACCGCCTGCCCAGCAGTGGGAGGAGGGAGTGATGCAAACAGAAAGCAGCGCCGCCTAATGTCAATACCCACCACCTACATGGCCTGGACTCCATGGCTGCTGCTCTGTCACTGCCACCACTGGTAAGAGCACCCGAGGAAGCTAAAGGTGCCAGATCTAGAGGCCACAGCACCCGGCCTCAGGCGGGTCCCCTCTTTCCTGTGACTGCCATGAGTCTGTGCCTTTCTTCCTCTTCCTCCTCTATCCCACTCCCTTGCCCATCTACCCGCCATGCATCTGTTTGCCCTGCACTCCCCATTCCAACTCTCGCCAGCACTCTCTTTGTCCCTATGGTCTGTAGGGGTCGCAGAAATTCTCACCCTGAGGTCACATTCCCCCGTTCAAGGGACACATACCTGGGCTTGCCAGTGATCACTGCTGGGGGTTATAGGGTTGGTGACTAGATTCCAAAGATAGTTTCTAAGTCTCCCTTCTTTAGGGAAGCTAACAAGGACTGACAGGATGACTCAAATGAGAGAATACCTACATAGCAAATATGAGACCATAAGTTCAAATTCCACCTTAGCCTGCTTCGATTATTTGGTCTCTTCATTAGGATAATAGTTGGGTTAACATTCGGGATCAACATTCCATTCAGGAGCCCCATGAAAGGGTGGAGAGGCAGGCCCCTGCACTTGCTGGCATGTTTGACGAAACCAGGTTTAAGGACCTGTACTGGAGACTGTAAAGGGACGCTTGGCGAATCTCAGAAGTTCTCACTCTTTCTCCCAAAGGGTAATTTCCTCCTTCCCTTTTCCCTCACTCTCCCCGCCAGCCAGCATAGGGAATTCCATCTGGGAGCCCTCAAGCAGGGGTGGAGGGTGCGACCCTTAGGAGAATGGTTCTCTTTCTCTCAAAGGGCAAGTTCCTCCCCTTCCCTTTCCCTCTCTCTCTCCACCAGCCAGCATAGGGGAAGCCGGCATATTCACGTTTGGCTGTATCCTTAAATGCTGGAAGCACTTTGATCCTGCTAATCTAAAAAGATGATAACTCATGGGCAGTAACACCTGTCGCTCAGGGGAGACGTCTTTATTCCTGTAACAGATTGTTGTTTTGTGGCTGTGTGTTGTATGTAACATGTCTTTGTGTTCCATTGGAGAGACTATGTGGTCACAGGAAATGCTGCCACCATGATGAAGACACCACATGTTCAGCACCATCTTGACACTTCCTAGGGATAGGAAACTCATGGGTGACACTATCTTTTCATCATTTAGGAAGATTATAACTAACTTGTGGTTAAAATTATCTATATTAATATAATTTTAATACATTAATCTGTTAAGGATTGGACAAAAAAAGAGTATTCATGTTAAAGATCTGTTATAAACTAAAGAATCAGCTGACTAACCTAAAATAATGACAAAAATGATTAAGAGTGCACTCTGAATTAATGTGATTGTGCTGTGTGTCATTGTGTTTTCTCTGTATGTCTTAGTCTGTCTCCTGCCAGTGTACTTTGGTCACTAAATATTTACTTTTTTGAGCCATACATGCACACTTATATTGACATTTTTTGGCATCCTTAGGTCAAAACATCTGTGTGTTTAGATGTCTTTAGGATGGTTTATAAACTACTTTTATAAAGTTAATGTGTAAAACTGTTTCAAAAGTTATCTAAATTTCTAATCCCAACCAGGCCTAATTATCCTCTAACTTCTGACTAAAGAAAACTTATGACCAATAATCTGTTTCATTCTATTGTGTATGTAATTTACATTTAACTCTTTTATAATTAGATTTATTAACCCATGTGTTCCTATAGATTTCTATTGTTAAAAAAAAAAGATAGTTTAATTTACTTTTCTTCCTCAGTCTTTTAAGGTATAAGGTTGCTAAGAGTTTTATTAAAAACTGTGTTATCTAAATTAGGGTTTTAAAGCAGAGGTTGTTTCAAGATACAAATTAAGGTGTTAATGCTTATAAGTTTTTATGTTTGTGATTGAGTTGGCTATGGCTTAAAGTTTTCCTAGAGAATTTTCTGAGGTCCAAATTTAAGGTACTAATGTATGTCTAAAAATGGGTTTGTGTTAGCTATTTTATCTAAGATACATTCTATCTAATGAAGTTTTTGACATTTCTGCTGTTTAGGCCTGACATTTTTGTCAGGTAAACAAATGTTTATCTGACATTGTGTGTTATGCAGTTGACCATTAAACTGGGGCCATTTGGGATTGACCCTGCCTTCCCCTAACTAATGGAAAATTTAAGGTTTTTAATTGTAAGCACTGTATTGTCAGTACTGACAATCACTAATCTGTTACTTTATCTAACCAAAATTCAAGGTTTAAACTGATTCTGTAACTGGCTCCTTCAGATGTTAGGTGTTTTTGTGTTCTTCAAATATATAAGCCTTCTAAAACAGAGTTATAAAAAGACACTGTACCAAATTGGTGTCTTCGTTTACAAGTTTGTGCATGTGTTTCCAATGATAATCAGAGGTTTAGTAATACTGCATACAATTAAAAGAAATTAGACCATTATGTTAATTGCTAAACTGTTAACCATGGTTACTTTAAGTTTTGTCATGATGGTTCTGATCCCTCAGGAGTATTGACAAGCCCATGAAAAATGACTCTCACAAGTGCTTATCTGTCAACTAGGTCAGATATCCCTAAGTATTGGGGTCATTTTGTATTTTCCCTGTAAAACTTTATAACTGTTGTCTGCTGACACTTTACAACAACATAAAGGAGTCAGTACATCCTCTATGTGACAGATTTAATTAAGCCCAGCTGAAGGCCCGTTTTTTAATAAATCTTTGTTGCTTAATTTGGCCAAAAAGGTTGCATTGGAATTGACTTCTGATCTGTTTGATGTGTTACTCTCCCACCACCATGGGATAACAGCTGACCTTCTGGGAGAAGCTACTCCTGGCTCCAAGAGACAAAATTGACAAATTGGCAGAATCTTCAGAGACAACTGTTCAGAGACACAATTTAAAAAAAGTATGCAGTTCAAATGGACTACACATATGAGGGGACTTCTCCAGATCTAAATGGAGTCAATTATGCCAGATCTCTAAAATAACCAAAGCCAAAAGATTTTAAAAAGGGGCTCTTATGCATGTACTCTAATATTTAAGACTTCTAGGATTCTGGCAAAAGGCAAACTCATGTCTTTGGCCAAGGCCTTCTGTTTAAGCAAAGGCAATGTGACCATTTCTACTAGCTCAAGATCTGTCCTTTTAATAATATTCAGAGTTGTTTATACTTTCCCTTGTATTCTACTTTCAATAGTATCTACTTCTGCTTAGGGACACTGTGAGTCTTCTTTCTGTACAAGACTAACTCATTGATGTTTACCATCAAATTGGACTGGCACGTAATGTATATATTACCCCAAATAATCAATCCTTAACTGCCCACTACAGTGGCAGTCCAAACAGGAGGCCATCCAAGGGTCAAAAATAGCTACCAGTATAGATGCCTATAAAAAAATAACCATAAGACTCTCTGTTGCTTTTCAAAAGAAAAAATTAGATTCTTTATCCTTCCTGCTATACCTAGCAGGGCCTCTTCTGATGCTCCTATGATTGTTCATGTTTGGGACATGTCTTCTACACCAGATTTCTCTCTTCTGGAATGAAAGCCTTTAGGACCTAAATCATGAGGAAACAGGGCTATCAGTCTCTACGGACAAATGAGATTTCCATGAACAACCTAGATCTTCATGAGGAAACTTAATTGTCCTGGACAATAATTCAGACACCTCATGTCCAAATGAGCCCAAAGGAGAAAAATGGAAGAGACAATTTCCCTTTGTAGGTAGGGTCTGTTGCCCTTGTCAGCTTGAACCAGATTCA